CCCCCCCCCCCCCCCCCCCCCCCCCCCCCCCCCCCCCCCCCCCCCCCCCCCCGTTCCAACTCCTACCTCCAAACGAAGATTCCGCTTCTCTGTATTGTGCACTACAGCGTAAGTTGAATCTTCCGGACATCGTGTTTGTCAGCCACATAAGTCATGAAATCATCATAGTGTAGGCAGGACGCCTAGTAAGCGCAGATTTATGTACTGTGCATGGCTTATTACAAAAACACACAGTTATTTCACATCTTCGGTTTACAGTGATAATTCTACAGTACCAGCAGTGTACGATCCGAGTATAAAAATGCTATTTCCAGTGAAAAGACTGCAAAAATTTATTTTATTTCATGACTTTTGAAAAAAAAAAAAAAACATAAGCAGTTTAGCAACCTATCAAATAAAAAATGCACAAACGTGACAGATTCTAGGGGACCCAATAAGGACAGCAATATGATGCGCAACTGCCAAGCACTGCCTCGCACATGCATTAACAAGAGCACTACACATGACAAGAGGTAACAAACAATGGAAGATTTGTACAGATGTTATGCAAAAGACAACTGAAAAAAACAGTTACTCTCCTACCTGAAAAAATTAATCATCAGAATCACTGCTGCCACTTTTTTCAGAATCTTTTACTTCCCGCTCAACACTGCCATCATCACCACCTTCGCTGCCAACATCGTTATCATGTACAGCAGCAGCAGCATCATCATCATCATTATCATCATCATCAGTTCCTGTATCTTCTGAACCAGACTTCTTTCTCTCGTCATCACTGTTTCCATCGCTTATTTTTAGGTCTGCAAAAATTGCAAAACTCAAACTTTCTGCAAAAAAACTAGGAAAAAAATCGCGAAAAATTCATCAAAAACCCTGCAGTTATCAGTGATTTGGCACCTAACTCATAACTTGTCTGCTACCGCTCAAATTTCCGTTTATTGGACCCAAATTTTCCGCTCCTTAAGTCGGTTTCAGTGCATCTGCGACTTTCGCGCCTCTTTCATTTAATTTATGCACCAATTCAGCTAGTTTTTTTTTTCTACTAAAAAATCGTTTTGAAGAAAAAAAAAACGTTTTTTACAAACCTCCTCTTGAGTTTTCATCAGATGTTTCGCTTTTATCGGTGTCATCTTTTTCATTCTTCGTTTCTTCACCAGCTTCGCCTTCTTTCATATCTTCATCACTCGACCCTTCTTGTTCCGAACCTGAATTAAAATTCAAGAAAGTTTTCGTCGCTGTGGATCTCCTTAGATCGTAATGAATTAAAAGCACAAGTGGTATTTCATTTGTAATTATCCGCATCTTACAATCAGGGACAACGCTGGACCGATCACGCCATCACTGCATAACTTCTCTGAAACAACTGATGCTATTCTAAAATTTACTACTCCTTCAAGCACAAA